ATCCATCCATCCATCCACCTTCTTCCATTTAAGCAGGGGAGGCCAGACTTCCTTCCTCCCCAGTCACTTCGCCCAGCTCTTCCGGGGAAATCCAAAGGCATTCCCGGGACAATCAGCCAACAGAGTCACTCCAGCGTGCCTCCGGGGCCTCTTCCTGGTGGGACGTGCCTGGAACATCTCACTACGTTGCCGTCCAGGAGGGACCCTGCTCAGATGCCCGAGCCACCTCAGCTGACTACTTTCAATGGGATGGAGCAGCAGCCAACCAAGCTTCTCTGAAGGACCGCCCGGAGGAAACTCACTTCAGGGCGATTTTACACCACTGGAACATAGATGGGGCACTCCACCCTTTTCCGATCGAGTAACATGGTCTCGGGTTTACAGGTGCTGATTCTCATCCCAATAGATTCACCGAGAGTGGAACATTTTGTCTCGATGAAGCCAACAGACGACATCGTCTGCAAAAAGCAGAGCTGCAATACTGATGTCACCGAACGGACGCCGGCAACCCTAGGCTGTGTCGAGAAATTCTGTGCATAAAAGCTACGAAGAAAACCAGAGACAAACGGGACCCTTGGGGGAATCCAACCGTCACGGGAAACAAATCAAACCGATCTGACACTGGTCGTACAGGGACCCAACTGCCCGCCCGGAAACTGCTGACTCCCGGAGCACCGCCCACAAGATCAATTAAGCGCTTCGTGGAACGCCTTCTCCAAGTACCAAACTCCCACGCACCCTCGAGGATCCGGCCAAGGATGTAGTCCGAGGCTAAGGTTCTTTTTCACAACTCTGCGTCATTTAAACCACGACTGAGGTTCTCGACCGAGGCTCGAGGTCACGACAGGGAGAGATCACATCTCTGACAGGACCTCTGAAGGGCAACATCAAGGAGCCGCGTACTCCAAAGCCTTTATTTACCCCTTCCATCCCCGCATGCGGGGCCTACTGTGGCCATTCCTCGCTATTCCAAGTACCGCTTGCTCATTGAGGCCAGATTACTGAGTAGGACCTTCTGTGTCCGAAACACTGTCTCCGCCTAAAGAGTCAACACAAATGTTTTCAGAACACTTCTGTAATTCCCAGAAAATTTGCTTTCTAGGACAAGGCAGGGGAAATATATTTTGCGATATTGCAACTCAAATAGAGGTGTTCCCAAGAAAGAGAGAAGAAGTCGGCTTCGGTGGCTTTCCTTTCTTTCTCACTCGCTCCGTGCCTTCTATTCAATCCGGACAGGGGGAGGTTCGGGAACTTCTGTTAGCCAGCTGTGAAGGGGGTGAGGGGAGAAGCCGGAGGTGGGGGGTTTCTGTCGAAAAAAAAAGGTCACTTTTCCCTTCCAGTCTCAGCCCCGCCGAAGTCATACGTCTAGAGGGGCCGAAATTCAGCTTTCCTAGCACACAGCCTCTTCACATCTCAACTCATCCAGTTTCTACCACTGTGCCGTGTTTCCATCACATCCAAAAACACACTTGAACTGAAAGATGCTATGAAATGATAACAACAAGCGATTGGGTCAACACTAAAGCCAACTGGATTGATGCCGGGCAGAGTTAAAGACTTTATACTCATAAACCTGAATTAATACAATCCAAATTTGGCAATTTGTGCCCAAAACAGATGGACAATATCTGGTTTGACATGTCATAGAAACAATTCATTTAAGTATCGGTTTGCGCTCATTTATTTTCCCCTAATTTTAAAATACTGAAATTCACCCCGAGCCCCGAGTTCCATTTTAGTTCAGCCTACCAGCAGTTTCATTCTTGGAAATGTATATGTTCCTGTAGCTCAAATAGGTGAATATTGAGATTGCTTATGTAGACTCTATAGGCTCTACTTTCATGACCGGCGTGAATCTGGCATGGCAGGCGGCGCATCTCTGTGCACGGGAGGTTTAGAAACAACCGAGTTGGCTAATTTCTCAGACGAGTGCAAGTTGGCGGATCTATGAGAGGGAGGGCTGCGCAGCGGAGGGAGTTGTCATATCCAACTTCACTCACGGCCAATCAAAGTGGCTCCTTCATTCCCTTAAAGGGTTAGGGGTAAAGGTTGGAGTCTCAACATTGCGAAAGCATATCTGCAGTTGGAGTTGGATTATTTTTATTATTATGAGATGTCATATTTTCAATTTCAAATGATCCAGTGGTTTTCAATGAATGCACACATTTCTATGTTTAAAGCTAGTTTGAATGGCTTCAGGAAAAAAAATGTAAATTGACCAAAAAGAGTGAATGGACAAGAATCTGGCATTATTAGACAGTACATTCTGCACTTACAAAGTATATTCTAGGTGATGTTAATGTGTTAAAAACGCTGTATTTACATTTTAACCAATATTGGGATATGAACATTAATTTCACCCCCCCTCCCTTTTTTTTTTTTTTTTTTGCTCTCTTTGCCAAGTGTGAAACACCGGTCGTACAGGCTTTATTATAAGTACATTCTGTACTTATTCCAGGTGATGGTGATATACAAAGAACATTAACCTGGCATTTACCTCTTAACAAATATTAGGATATGTGCATGATTTCACACTGATTTTAATCCCCACCAAGTGTGGCTGTGCAAAAGCGAGAGGCATTGTTTTGAACCAAAACATTTTTCATTTGTTGGAAGTGAGATTATGTAAAAACTCCATAACCAATTTCCATAAATGTTGCTTTTTTTAAAAACAGAAAACCCAATAGAGATCGACTATAGCTGCATTTTTTTTTTTTTTTTTTTTTAACCGAAAACCCAATAGAGATCGACTATTGCTGAAGTTGTTCCGGCTGCATGACGACATGAACGTCGTCCGTTTGGACAGCCGCAATTGCTTTCAACACAACAGCGCGGGAGAAGTGAGTGTTGAGTGTTGACCCAACAGCCATATTGGTCCAATGACTTGGTCAGCTTTTCTATGTCAGTGTCATTTATACCAAACGGGTGCCCAAGGAAAAGGCAGATAAATCTCCCCTTGAAGAGCTTGCTTAAAAGTATCTAAACACAAATACGACCTTCTACGGTTTCACGGGACCGACCGTCTTCTGAACCAGCAAGTGAGCGGCAAACAAACAGATCGACAAACAAAATGCACTCTTTTTTTTTTCCACTTGAGCAAACAGTTAATTCTTGGAAGGCACAATTTTGCATGCCATTCAAGCTTGTTTATATATTTTCCTAAGCTCTTGTTTTGAGTTTGTCGAATTGGAAACAGTTAAAGACAAGTCAAATGCATGTGCTGTAGTTAATTAGTGCCAAGTTTCACCTCCGGCTGTGCCTCTGAGAATCAAGAAGTGACAGATAAAGTGCAGCCCGGGCCACTTCTGTATGTTAGACACCAACTCTGTCCCCCTTCTGTGTCCCACCGCATCTGCTATGTATGAGCTTGATGCCATACAGGAAAAAACACAATTCTTCTGTAGTCTAGTGCAGCCAATCAGGAAGCGAATCGGGGGGTTCTTTCCTGTTTCCTGTTTTACAGACGGTATGTATGAACACCCACTATCCCTTCTTGGTTTCCGAAAATCAGGGGAGTCATCATCTGGCAAGAGTGTCCCAATAGGAAGTCGTCTCAGAAGCAAAAATGTTCAGGTCTTAGTCATCGGCCAACCACATGCCAAAGAGAATGTGGTGAAAACAGTGTGACGCAAGGGTTGCACAGGCCGATAAGGATCACACAACTTGACGGCCGCTCAAGAATACGCGGCGGAAACTCAACTGTATGATATTACAGGGGGCGGTCTCACACATTGAGCTTAATGGTGGAAGTGATGACAAACAGCGATAACAAGTTGCAAATATTAAGCCGTAATCATCTACTTTATCCACACTGAAGTAGGTCCAACTGCTATACTGTAATAAAAAATGAATGCCTTTATATGTGAATGCATGATTGACATGTTGTATTTCTGACGTATGGAAAGAAATGCTACAAAAACTCATTTTGCATCAGCTTGACTGATTTTGTTCAACGCGTGTATGTGCCGTCATTTTATTTGACTTTTTTTCCTTTTGTTCCTCCCTTCTGTTGCGCATTTGGAGTCAAAACAATCCGGGCATCACAGTTAGGATGAATAGGGTGCCAGATGTCAGTGAGATTGTTCCTTATTGACCATGTAGGAATAACAATTAGGGCACACACAGGAAATGATGTGCGGCTGAATTCATTAAAAAGGCCAAAAATAGAAACATACAGAGCGCACCCCATCTTAGACGAAACATTTACTATCATCACGACGGAATGTGTTCGGGTCACATAACTGAAACCATTTTAGGTGCATTTCACGCAACAACAAAAAAAATGGAATGACTGGAAGATTATTGAAGGTAACTTCAGACTTGCATCCGAGACTATGATGTTTCTTAGACTGTAACTACTGAAGTTATTATCTATTGCAATTATGGAATAGGCACCCATTCAGTCCAGTACGTGTATCGTGGACTGCAACGATCATTTCTAAAAGGGTCAAGAAAGCTCCAACAGAGCTTTCACTGTAAGACACTTTGAGCATTTCTGGCTTCATTCATAACAAATCAGTGTACGCACTATGCACTCAACGTGTCTCTTGCAAACCAGGATACCCGCTGGAGACATCTAAATATAGCAAGCTTTTTCAACAATCAATGACTAGACTGTGGTAGTGGTGGTGTGGTATCGGGGGATTTTGAGGATGACCATTAGAAGATGAACTATACAAAAAACGTTCACTTTTTGTCCATTATTTGCAGGCAAATAGAGGCATTGCAATCGGAACAGACGAGATGGCTCTTGTGTGCCAGCCAGCTGCTACATTCCCACAGTCCCCCCGAAGCCACAAGGCTGTCGAAGTGTCTTTTTTCCACTGCACGGACATTTGTTGTACAGTCTACACGGAACCGCATGTGATTTGAATTAGAATAACATTAACAAGACAGATCAGTCTCGCTCCTCCAGCCCTCGGTGCCCGTCTGGCCCATAAACGAGGAGCCATCAATCTAGGCGCTCAGATTGGGGGGTGGGGATTCTTTTTTTTCCTTACCTATTTTAATTTTAACGCTCTGAAAAACCCGCAGACCTTCCTCTTCTACCGCCATGCTGTCGTCGTCCCTGAGTTCCCTTTAGCCGGCTGAACGGACGCGGACGTCCACGCTGGTCGCTTGCAGCCTCTCCAGCAATGGGATATTCCAGAGGTTTTTGCACATCTATGCGCACATAGCTGCGATGGCACTCTGAATCCAGCACCGCGTCGCTGGCTGATTGAGAACAATTGAGGACCGCTACAGCTCTCTCAGTCCGTCACGCAGCAGCGGCAGCGGCAGCAAACGCGGGGGGGGGGGGGGGGGGGGGGGGGGGGGGGATGGCTTCGCCGAGCCCCGCCTCCTTCTACGAGGCGTGACAGTGGAAAGGAAGTCAGAAGCTGTGCGGATAAAAAGACGAAGGAGCATATTCTAATCAGTTCGGATGCGAGAGCTCTATAAACATGAATATGGCCGTGTAATTGATGCTCACTTTTGATTACCTGTCACAGTGGTATTGTTTTAACAGTATCAGAGGTGGCAGACGTACTCAGTCTTTACTGAAGTAAAAGCACCGATTTTTTAAAAAGTAGAAGCACTGATTTCAGAGATGGCACGACACCGATGTTAGGGGGCTATAGACCCGTCCGAAATCTGTTTAGCCCCAGTTAAACCTATCTCGCACTTTATTTTATCTTCTAAAATAAATATCGAAATTATTTTCCTTGCCTCCCTGTGTATTAATCCATCGAATTTTATTAATATAGCACTTTTCATACATCGGTCAAGCCATTACAAATTCATCAAATTGCATATTGTCCTCATTCGGAGTTTCCAAGAGATAAATTACCTTGTCGTTATTTTTTTTTCTTCAAAAAAATAAAATAAAGTTGGTCAAATGCTTTTCATGACAGAATGTCTATTGGGTTTGGGGGGGGGTGGTCATGAGTAGGCATTAATCACCCCTCAAACACAGCATCATGCTGATGGCTAAATTACAGAGAAAAGGAACAGCCTATAATTATGGTCTTCTTCAGAAAGTATAATTTTAGCAGTTGGCAAGGCTGGTCACCATGCCCACATACTTGAATTTGAACCCATCTCTGAGCTTTGGCAATGAATGATCGTGTTTCCTGCAGTGACTCTGCCGCAACTGACTGGTACCTAAATCGAATGGATTGCAGATGTTTTCTCAACAATAAAATCATTGCGGTATTCGATCCATAACCATGACTTGAGCAAGATACGGTGTGAACAAATATAATAATAATATAATATAAATATAACTATCAACAGAAACCTTGTCATATTCTGTGCTGCCAATTGTTATTTTCAACAAATTAGCGTGACAGTAAGTCATAGAACACGAAGAGTCCTGGATAGGAATGGATCCACTTTTCCTGTTGACACTGATCTTGGGACAGATTTAACATAAGGAAGTCCAACTGAAAGTGTTGACCTGACCTGTGGGATGTATGTCTGGGAGGGATCAAAGGTCCATTCAGGTGGAAAGCCCAAGGCTATTATCAAGCCACATTCGAGCCTACTGGGCCACGCCTACGAGACCATAATGGCCACAATTCTCAAAATAACCCGGCACTGGTGCGGAACATACGACCTCAGCTGGCCAAGCCAGAGATGTGGGCGTAAGGAGCAGTTGGACTTCCCCTTCACCAGAAATCACTGCTTGCTGCACTGTCGAGATTAGCAGTGACTGCTTTGGAAAAGCTCTAAAGCTAATTAGGCTGCATCTCCGCTAGACATGCCTGACATCAGAAATCATACTCTCCACACGCTGCGGCGGTCCGAGTGTTCATATTAGTGAGCTGGTAATGCGTGTATCCCTGGCTATCTGAAGCGGTGTGCCCATTTTCAAACACAATAACCAATCTTGTGAGTGACGAGTGAAACCGCACTGCTCCCGCCAAAGCTACTATATCAGTGACCCCAAATCCCAGCATTTGCAGAAAAAACCAACAATAATTGTGTAGGTCTACCAAGTTAGCCACATCCTGCAGCATCTAAGATGCACACTTGCTGCATCATATCGAGAAATAACGCCTAGAACCAGATTGTATTTCATGTAGCTGTTGTGACTACGCCCTGTGGCAAACCACAAGCCTGTGAGTGAAACTGTATGTACTTTTCTTTGCAGAAGATTTTAGAATTTTGGAGGAGCCTCATTTAACACAATGTATGGCAACTAAATTAAAGAAAAATGGAACGATGTTTGCAAAAATGTGTACCTGCATGACAAAAGCAAAGAAAAAGGCAATGTAAGGCAGCTTTATTGACATTTTATATACCAGGCAACTCACTGTGCTTCACACAAGCAAGGAAACAACACCTAGACGCTTTTCACAAACACATCGGTTAATGATATTCAGAATCAAAACAGATAAAAACAAGAGTAGCCTCCCAAAATTACTAAAAGAACATATATTGACACATTAAAAGAAAACTTGAAAAACATTCACTAAAAGAAAAACGATTGTAAAATGTTAGGACTTCAAGGGGATGAAAAGCAAAATGTTTTTAACCTGGATTTAAAGACACTGCAGCATAAAAGCTAAATGCAGCCTCGCCATGTATACTTTGAACTTGAGGCTCCACCAATTGTCCCAAGTCTGCAGATCTCAGCACCCTACCAGGCTTCTATTCAATCAGATTTTCTTCAAGGTATTCAGGACCCAAACCATGTACTGATTCATAGATCAGTTGCAGAATTTTAAAACCTTTTCTCCAGCTAATTCGGAGCCAGTGTAAAGATGAGACAAAGCACAGATTTTTTTTTCCCTGCAGATACATGCTGATCAACCACTACCACAGAGTGTGAGGGCGTTGTCACACTTCCAACTGTACGACCACTGTGGTTTGTGCTAATTCACGCACAACAACTCTTAATGCGGATATGTGCGCTCAATGACTGTACTTTCTAGCTGAGTGGGGACTTGACTGGAACAGATGGTGTTTGACGTGTACAAAGTTAATCTTTCTCGAGCATTATTCTCCACACAGGGCTTGTATCAAATCAGAGTAGATCCCTCAAAATCTGATGTGATCTGTGATGAACAAAAGGACCAGTGTGAACTCAGCCGGGCGGATCAGGCCATCAATGATTTTTAACCTGTTAACCTGCATGCGTTTTCATGAATGCGGTCGGTAGCCATCGTTAATGCAATGCTTTCACCTTGTTGTGCTGCAACAGCGAAGACAACAACAGGAAAACAGATTTTCTGTTCTGTTTTAGGCAACTATCAGGTAAAAGCATGTGCACAAATGGATGTGTTACTCAGATAATTGTACTCCATGCTGTGTCCCCATAGGGGTTTAACATAGTAGTACAGTACAAAGTATTTTCAGGGGTTTATGGATTCAGTGGAAATCAAAAGAACATTTTGGTGGATCAAGTCAAATTTTCAAATGGACTTTATCAAGACACATGAAAAAAAAAACATCAACAGTTACAGTGACGGGACTGTACAGTACCATAAGAACACACAGTGAATAGTCACATATCTGCTCCAGCAAACCCGACCCTATATAATAATAAGGCTCAGCAGTACAGAGAATGGATGGATGGATGTCTATCAGTATTATACCACCATCTAGTGAGCACACAGTCAAACATAATCCACAAGCATGTGGACACAGTTAATGTAGTTGAACAATGCCTTTTCAACCAATTCTAACAGTCCCTAATCTGATTCTCAGCCATATAAAAATAACATGAACTACCGGAACTTCAATGGGCGTGCACAATGCAATGATTTAAAATATTTTTTTGTAAAAACATAGTTAATACAAATGAGTGTGACTTTTTTATTTTGACATGTAAGGCTTCCATGGCCCCTATGTATGCATGTATGTATGTATGTGTGTGTGTGTGTGTGTGTGTGTGTGTGTCCGCGCGTGCTCCTGTACATTCACATACAATAACTTTCTACATACAAAGCTTGACTCTTAGTTGAGAACTACTTAAATATATGGCGAACTCCTAATTTTCATGGGGATATGGACCGAGCCCTGTTGAGAATTGCGAGTCTTTCGATGGTCACACAAAAAAATTGTAATTGCCTTAAGATGCCACAAGATGGAAGCAAAGCACTTTTTCTCTATCAGACAAAGTTATGGCATGTAGTATGGCACTAGAGGAAACTCCATTATTTTTATAGACACGGCTTTGGCCGGAGCACAAAAAAAGTGAACAGGTCGGAAGATTAGTACATCAGAAACAAACAGAGAATAGGTGAATTCATGAACAGCAAATACTTAAGCTGTTCACTGTAATTCCTTGACAAAAAAATACTTTTTAAAATTTTTCTTAGAGAGATTTGGTGCTATTTTGTGACTTCAAAGTCCGACCGAAAATGCGAATAGGTGAGTTTTTCCATTAAAGGTTTGTTGGGGGTGGGGGACAAATAGGTTATTTTGAACAAAAAGAACTGCAAACTGTGTTGTTCTAATAGAAACAGTAAAGGTGTTTACTCTGAAACAAACTCATGAGTGAGTTATTTGTCATTTTCATATTACAGCTCACGTGACGGCTACGTATGGTGTTGTGGCCCTTTAACAAGTCTCGTCCACTCGCTCTGTGCGACAACCGTGCTTGGCATTTCGCTGCTATCTGTCATATCGCTCTTCGAGTCATGGCTACCCATTCAACCGAAGAGCCGTTCCCCTTCCACGGACTGCTTCCCAAAAAAGAGACCGGCGCCGCGTCCTATCTAAGCCGGTTCCCCGAGTACGATGGCCGAGGGGTTCTCATCGCGATCATGGACACCGGAGTTGACCCAGGGGCGCCCGGCATGCAGGTACAACTGAGCCGGTCGCTCGACCGCGAGTTAGCTACAAGCTAACTGGGGGCAATTGAAAGCAAAGGCCACATAATCTGTACAGTCACTAGCTAGTAGGCTAGCTCACCTGTTGGGCTAAACAAATGGCATTCATCCTGCGACAGTGCAATTGACAGAATAATGACAACTTAATTCACACAAAGAAGCGCATTTGTCGTTTTTTCTTCAGTTCTCATGAATGATTTTACGATGGAGTCCAATTGCCCAAAGCCGTTAATGTAGTTAGCCTTCTATTAGCATACAGCAGTTGACTCACTTTGTAGACACTGTCGGATTATTTACGTTATTACATGTTATTTGATTATTATTGTAGGACACACGCAGTGAAGATAAGTTGTGAAATTGAAATTCAAAATACCGTAATCGTGAGCTAAATAACGTAAGGCGAGAGTGATTCCGATGTAATTTCCATTTTCATACATGTGAAGGCGCGGGGCAACAGTTGACCAG